ACAGCTCATGAAACTGTAATTGGAAGTCCCTGCAACTGGCTGTCCATGTCAGTTTGAGGAGGACTCCGGCATCGTTGGAGTGTTTCCCCAGCACTACATTTTTGATAAACGAAACCGGCACAGAAGTGACAGATTACCCCGCATTGCAGCCCACCATGGCGGTGGCATCCTGGCACCATGGTGACTCACATATTAATTATTGGCCCACAATATTGAAACAGAAACCAGTGCAAATGCTCTGAGGCAGATGACAAATCAATTTCTTTGCTTTCGCATCGGTTTCAAGGGGGATTGACCTGAGAGCAAACCCTTGTTACTCCGACCCTTAGTCGATTCCAGTTTCAGTTTCGATATCTGATTTTCCACCCATTTCTGCATCCAGGACATCCATTGGTGTCAATTAGGCTGTGGAAAGCTTTGTCCGCCTGCAAATTGGCATTTTATTATGGATTCCATTCTGTTGCCATCGCATTGCGCATTCATTGAGCTGCTTATCACTGGATGTGGATGTGGCAGGCAATGGCTTTCCTCGGTCTTGCGGCGGAATATCGAGTATCCTGTATCCTTTTAGCCTTTATCAGCTGCCTCATCCACATATTTTCCAAATCATTTCATCGCGAGTTGTGCGGCATCATCTGAAATTCAAATATCACTGCTAAAAAGCATAGCCATGTCTGGGTACGCCTGTATCCTGCCTCCTGTTGTTATCCTTCATCCGTGTCATCATCCCCTTTCTGGCCCCTGTACTACCCGTTTTCCCCACTTTACGATCGAATGCTAATAAAGTCGTCTGCCGTTGGCCGTCGGCGCCAACTTGCATAATTCAATTACATCCGATGCAGACTCATAAAACTAAATCAAAGGAAAACAAAGCGTCACGCTTCATTTACTTTAGTACAACTCCTCGGCGGGGAGCTCCGCTTTTCACCCATTTCCCCCCCTCCACCAACCAAGAAGCCCCCAACTTCGAAGTGGAGACACATCGAGCCGGCTAAGAGCAATAAAAGCGTTTGCCAAGAAGTTCTCCTTCGGCTCGCATTCCGCCCCAGCAAGTATCCTTCGTGTTGCTAGTCTGCTTATCCTCTTTGGCCGCCACCCAGCTCCTGGCTGACAGTTGACGTCCGTGGCTGGTGTGGTGGTCTCTGGCAGACTCCGAGTTCCGAGCTCCGAGCTCCAAGTTGCGAGACCCGTCTGCTGGCCATGAAACTTTCCCGTCACTTCCGACGCCCCCGAGGCGCTGCTTTGCATGGAAAGCGGCAAACAATTTCCTCCTCGGAAAGTTGGCTGCGACTTTGATTCTAGTTTGGCCCCGGCAATAATAATATCGCAGAATGTGATTGTCGTGACTGATTGCACTGGGCGCTGCGAAAGTTGGCAGCAATTTCTTGCAGTGCACTTAACTTTATTGTTCAGCAGTACAAGCTGAGTTGCCCTTGTGGCGGATTTGAGTTAGTGCCAGGCATCAGGCATAAAGTGTTGGCGCATTATTATCTTTCGGACTTCATAACTTCTGGCCGTAAAGTTCTGATTGGGCGCCGGCGGAGTGCCAAAAGTCTTGCTTGAAATAACATTGCCTTGCCAATTGGAGAGGCTACAGGGGGCCAGAGTGCCGCCCTCTTCATTATCTTCACATTTATCGAGCTAATTAACAATGGGGAAATACGTGAGGCAATTGAGGCGGCGAAGCAGGAAACGCCTTCATCTTGAAGATGTCAAAACGAAAAGTATTTAAACTGAAAATGCCACATCACAAGAGGAGACCGCCTGACAGCGAGTGTTGAGGCCATCAAAGGAGTTCTGCAAATGGTTCGACAAGCGTTGAGCAAATGAAAATGGGGGAAATGCTGGAGGACTGCTCAAAAGATGTTTGATTTGACAGCCATTCAAGGACTGCAGTTGCACTCGATGAAACGAGAATGGGAGGAAGTGGAGCTCGAAATGGTGGTCATTCCTGGCATTTGCTGGTGCGAATAATGCACAATCCTTTTTCTTTTTTTCCCCCTCTCTCTCTCTTTGGACAGTACAATGTCTTGCTACTGTCTGCCAACTCCCAAAGTGCTTCCTTATTTTCTGATCCTGGCGCCTTCGTAGTCTGCGTCTCGGTTTCAGTATCCGACTGGGTTTTTATGATGGCGCAACAATCTGCAAGCTATCGGGATTACTTTCATGCGGCAATTTGTTGGCCAGTTGGCAACTTTTGCCACATCCCGCTGTCCAGAGGCAGGGAATCCACCCTGGCTCCTTTATCCAGCTCCTGCTGGCTTCTCCCCTTCTGGTCACGTGCCCATTTTGTTTACATGCCGCATTAAGGGGATTCCATTCCGTTTAGTTTTCACTCGCTGTGTTTCGTTTTATTGCGATTTGATTCTATTTTCCGTTTGCCACACATTCTCCTTGCTTTATGCCCTCTGCTAAGTCCCTGCCACAGATCAACGCATATTTGTTTTTACTCTCGCATTATTATCCTTATCCCACCCCTTTTTTTTTCTCTAAATTCCCTGATGGGGTTGGTGTGAACTTTGGCACTCAGCTGCAGCTTTTTTCCCCGGTTTATCCTTCGTCCTGCTCTCCTGCAGCTCCTGCAACTATTTAGTGCTTTCCACTTCCACTTGTGTTTCCACTTCCATTTACTGTTCTGTTGCGGCTGCTTATTGTGTTCTATATCCGCCTTAGTACTGCCATTTGTTGCATCGGGGGTGGACTGGCTTAACCTTTCCTTTTCCACTTTATCTTCGGCTCTTCTTACACTCATTACTCAAGGAGTGAGCGTGTGGATAAATCTTGAGCAAGATGTGGGGGTTCGGGTGGGAATGGAGATGTGTTTGCCTCGCTGATAAGTGCACGGTTGGGGGATTAGTGGTCTCTTATCAGTCGGTATTGGCGTAGTTCACCTTCTCCCTTCTAAACCCAAACTTTATCGCAGGCAATTTACTTGCTGGCAGCTTAATGGCGCCCAACGCGGCACGTGCTCCACGTGCGAACAGCTCGCAATGGGTTGTTGAGATTGCAAAAGTGAAACGGGTGGGGGGGGGGGGGGTTGACTGCTGACTGGCGCCTGGTTAGCCATGAAAATTTTAATTATTTCCAAAGGCCCTGTTATGATTTGTAATTGGTTTTCTTTCTTCTCATTTCGTTTCCCTTTCTTAATTAAAAGTCCGAGCGTATCGCAGCGAACAAGTTGGAGGGCCTAAAAGTTGACACTTTTTTGTTTGCCTTCGCTCGCCTTTTGGTAATGAGGCATTCTCCGATCTAATGGCGAACTAATCAACCTTTTTTAATTGAATTCCTGGAGACGACGTTGTCGTGTCCAGGCCGGGGACAAATCAACGAAAGTTATTTCATTAAAAAATTTTAATTGACATTCGTTCTTTCGGCAAATTAAGCTTTGTGTCGTGAAAATATTTGCCCGACTCAGCGAGAAGTTTCGGCCAGGCCATCTGTCAGCCGGACAGGACCTGTCCCAGGACCTATTACCTCGCCCAGCTCCTCTCCCCTTGTCCATCTATTTTCACTTGCCCAATGAATCAAGCTGACAGAGCTCATATATATTTCTGTTTCAGTTTTTTTTTTGCGACTTGGACTTTTTGTGCACAGTTTGCTCTTCCCTCTTTATAGATATTTTGATGTAATTACTGCGACAAGTTGCCCAATTTGCTTAGTTCGGAGTTCGTTTTATTTAATTAGTTTGGAGATTGTTTGTGCCGGCTCCTTTGGTTCCTTCTGATGTTTTTTTCGCCCATTTTATCTGGCAACAGGAAATTGCTCCGTTTCGCAGGCTGTTGAGTGACAAATTGAATTTGCTGTGACAAAATGGGGCTACTTGTAAAGGGCGCCCGTACATCAGATCCCGTCACAAGCACAGGGGTTATGTCAACCCCACACACTCTTAAGCAATTAGATTTTTAGTAGTTGATCTTTCTGGTCAGCACAACGCTGCATTGTTCTGCTCCCGAAAAACCCATTTGTGAAGGCAACCTAGTTTATCTACTCATTCTGTACAACATTCCGCAAAAGCAACCAGAAGTCCTCTAAGGGGTATTTAGGACTAAGCTCAAATTTCACACTCATAGTGATGGTTTATTTGGAACTGGTTCCTAAAATTGCACCTTAAGAACTCTAATTAACACGTAAAAACACCTCTAAAATGTAAGGATAACCTTTAAAACATATGTTGAAAGAGATATCCAGCCTCAACATATTATTATTTACATACCCCATGACCAAGACCTGTTAATATAAGAGCTGGAAAATATTTATGCTGTTAATTCTTTTTCATAGTTTTATTTTCCCTTTTCAACAAAAAATTAAATTAAATTCAAAAAACATTTATTCTCCAATCTAAAAGAAAACAACATTTTTGATTTTATTACTCCTGGTAAAACTATTGAAAACTTTAAAGACTTTCGAAAAATTAAATTTTTTTCAAATCATTACAAGTAAACACTATATTTGACGTCCATAAGTTGTAAGTTAAGTTAAGGAAAGATAATAAAATTCAACTCGTTTAAAAAATAACATATTTATCGCATTTATTTTAAGAAAGTTAAGGCCCTCAATCTACATAAACTCTTACATAAATTTATCAAAATTATTCTAAATTCGCACACCGAACGGGAGCTAGTTCCGCTCCACTTCCGCCCAACTGAGGAGCCAAAACTCAACACGACATCAAGTGCAATCATAAACTAGCGCAGTTCACAGCAACAACAACATTTATCGCTAGCCATTTGCAAAAAAAATGCGCAACAGTTGCATGTGGCAGGCAGTGGCAACAACAGCAACACAAAACAAACAATTGTCCTTTCTCCGGCCCAGAAATCCCCACCCACCTCCTGCCAACCACCCAATTTACTGCCGGCATTTCGGCAACACCACCACCCACAAATTTTGATAATTGCGCATGTGCCCACAGAGAAAGCCGAGTCCTTTTTCGTGGCAAGTTCGTGGAAGAGAAGTCCGAAGGACTTTCCGCTGATTCAGTCGCTCGCCACATTTCGAAACAAACGGTCGTCGAGGACTTCCACCGCCGGTAATGGTGGAAAACTGAGTGCGTGAGTGTGTGTTCTTCAAGGGAAACGCGAAATTCTCCGTCCAAACAGCAGCAACAATTACAACTACAACTACAACTACAACCAACAAGCAAAAGCCGTAGTTCCTGCGAGACCCACAAGCCGCAAAACCGAATCATTAATAAAGAAAAGCCCAGCCGTCGACAATATTGTGCCGCGGTTGCCCCATGTTGACACGGCTTAAATGGGGCATTAAGTGCTCGGTGCTCGGTGCTCAGTGCTCATACATGCCATTGCCGCTAATCAGAAGTGCAAAAATCCCACGTTGGATTCCAAACCCCACCCCAACCCCAAAAAAAAAGGATTAAACTCCGGATTCACGTCAGCACATCACACATTGAAAATCCTGCGTGGACAGGCGTAAAGCTGATTGCCCGGTGATATGAGTATAAGTAAGCATTTAATGTGTTTTGTACGCTCTGACCGATTTCAACACCCGCTTGAACCCGTCACAAAGAATCGCACCCATTTCAAACTCTCGACCGGAACTAAATAAATAATTGTGCTGGGTCACCCACGTATACGTATATGTTTTTTCTGCTCTTTTTTTATGGTGTCACATTGCGTGACTGAGTGAACTTGCGGGGGTGGACTGACACTAATTGCAATGTGTGAGAATGAAGGCCTTTTCCTTGGGGCGCCAAGAAGTAGGCAATAAAAAAGTAAGGCCTACTCTCGTAGACCAAATGAGCAGCCAAAAAATAGGAAGAATTAGAAAGAAGAGGTGAATGCAACGACTATGAAATACCTGGTAGTTATTCCTTTCTTATAAAATATATGTTATTTTCTTAGGTAATCTAAAAGTAAAATAAGGGAAATGGTTCCATATTATACACTTTTAGTATAAATGTAGGCTTTTATGTAAAGACTATAATTAAGACTTACAGACGAATGAATATCTTTTTTTTTTCTTTTTTTTTTTATTCACTGGAATTTGTTCAGTGCCTTCTGAACTTAACCTTGCGTAATTAGCAAGAAACAGTTTTATGGATACATAATAGCCTTATATATGAATATCGCAAGTAAAGATTACTGATTTATTTAGCTAATAATCTAGACCTTGAGCATAAACACTTTTTGCGGTCACCAAATACCTAACTTTTTTAGTAAAACTTAGCTAGCTTGAAGCGAAGTTACGCCAAACTAGTTTAATTGCCAATAGATACACTATGAAAAAGGTAAAACTAATTTTACACATCAAATTCTCATTGAAATATGAAGAATGCATAGAACACCAAAAAAACCAAATTGCTAACCTTTTAGGATTAATGTTCTCTGAGTGTGGTTTGAGTGGAAAAAGGTGTTAAGAATAACCCAAACTCACCCTTTAAGTAATTTTTACTAAAGTTTGGGTAATTTGGTTTAAGTCCTACTTTCTTGAAACCAAACATATCCTTGCTGTCCAAAGGTACACCCGTCCTAATGGAGAAGAATAAAGCTGAAAATGCAAATCTCTCGTTGCGCTTGGGCAACTCCAAATGGGGCTGGCCCGACACTTAGCACCACCCCACCACCGCACCACCGAAGCAACTTTGGGGCAAGTGCCCCACCACCGGCCACCGCTCCACTCAGTGCACGCTAACGCCTCGACACGACAGTCTACGTTGATTGAATGCCTAAGTGCCCCGGCAGCAACGGCAACAAAGGAGGCACAAAGTGAAACTAAAAGTTGGCCCTAAGTGTGGGCCACAGTTTCCTTTTTAGCCCGGTTTTTATGCCTTAGCCCCTGATTAGGGGTCTTTGGGCAAATATGCATAGATTAGGCACGCTTTTAGCGCTCGATTGCGGGACACTTGGCCTGATGTTTCAATTAGGGGCATAAAACTCTAAAAAGGAGGCCAGCCAAGTGGCCCCGTCCTGCATTGACCCAGATAGCCGGCTCAGATGTCGTTCCCAGTCAGATTTTCGCCAGCGCCCAGGCAAAATATCATTTTAATAACCGAAATGACAGCCATAAATCAATGATTATTGCCCATTGTCTGGGGGGGATTGCCGTTTTCGTTGCCTTCGTCATTCCGAGGGGCTTTAAAACGAGGGACCGACTGTCGTTGAGATACTTTTACGGAGATAAAAGTCCCGTCCTGGGTGTCGTCGCTTAGCCGGGCTTCTGTCACTTGCCACCATAAATTTACGCCACATAATATTGAAAATTCCCATCAGACAACCGCACGGTGTTGAGTTAAACTCGTAAAACGTAATTGAGGTTGTATTTCATGTTAAATGGCTGGCTGCCCAGTGGCGCAGTACGCCGTCTGTAGTCCTAGGCTCTGTGGATCATGGAACTGGATATGTGAGATGGTCATTATGGGGTTATTTACTAGGCACTCGTTCGCATGCAGACAAGCATCCTTAAAAGCTCAAACGAGGAGTAGGGAATCCCCTTTGTGGTTAGATATTCAGGTCTTTAATTTTATGCAAAAACTCTGTAAGCACACAACTTTTTTTTAATTTTAAAATAAATGAGTAGTAAAAACAGAAATTCAACTCTATAGTTTAAAAGTTCATAATTACATAATGGAAAGTGGAAACAATTGAATCTGATTTCTGTTTTGCTTTCGTAAATTTACATATTTTGCACAGGTTTCTGTTGAAAAAGTTAATGCAAAAACAATTGCAGTGGCAATCAAATTTCACTTTCATTAAAATGTAACACTCAATAAGGACTAACCATTATAATTAACTTTTTAAAATGAAGAGAGTTTCGGCATAACTATAATTCCTCATGATTCCACTGTGTGCAATATGCGTAGTGTAATCCCACCCTAATGGCAAAGATCAATAATATTCCTAGTTTATTGGGGCAATAATTACGAAAGTAATTTCGAAACTGTTGGTAATTAGGAAAGGCCCACATTAAGTGGAAACTGTCATCATCCGAAATCGCACAAATTGTGAATTTAATTGCTAGGCCAGACCAGACACTAATACCAAAACGACCCAATTCCGCCACGAACATGAATGTCTTTCATTAGGGGTCCTGGTATTTTGGCTAAATATATTTAGTACACATGTTCGGCTGGAAATCGTTAACTCATTGGAGCGCAGCGACAAAATGAAACAAAACAAGAAAGGAAAGCTAACTTCGGGCGGAGCCGAAGTTGATATACCCTTGCAGAATACTCTTTAAATTATATTCTTCAGAATTATTCATATGATGCATTCCTAATACTCATAAAAAATCCCAACTTCCTAACTTTACAAACACCAAAGTTATGGCATTTCCAATCGTTCAGTTATATGGCAGCTATGGGATATATTCGGCCGATCCTTATGAAGTTTGGTAGGTCGGATTGATTGGCCAAAAATAAAACCCATAGAAAATCCCAACTTCCTAACTTTACAAACACCAAAGTTATGGCATTTCCGATCATTCAGTTATATGGCAGCTATAGGATATAGTCGGCCGATCCCGGCCGTTCCGACATATATACTGCGTGCAAAGGAAAGAAGGGTGTGAGCAAAGTTTCAGTTCGATATCTTTAAAACTGAGAGACTAGTTCGCGTAGAAACAGACAGACGGACAGACAGACGGACAGACAGACGGACAGACAGACGGACAGACGGACAGACGGACATGGCTATATCAACTCAGAAGGTGATCCTGATCAAGAATATATATACTTTATAGGGTCTGAGATGTCTCCTTCACTGCGTTGCACACTTTTGACCAAAATTATAATACCCTCTGCAAGGGTATAATGAAACAAATCGAGCCGACCTTTTCCCCCTGCCGTAATGTAAATTAATTGCCTGCACAAATTAGGCAGTCCGACGAACATTTTGGACATTAGGCCCGGGACTTTTGGTCGGGTCGCTCCGGGGGCAGTGCAATCCCCAATTGTTGGCACAACATTCGCCAACAATTCGGCATTAAATATACAACAATACTCAGGTAATGCCAGGTAAACATGGCAAACTGTCGCTCGTTACTTTTAATCAGTTATCAAAATTTATGGGCAACAATTTGTCCGGTCAGCGCGAAAATTTCGCATTGTGTTGCGTAATCCATTCTGAATTCGGAGTCCATTTTCAAATATTTACGCCAATTTAATGATGTTAAACACCGGCGTCGCGGTTGTTTATTCTCTCGCGAAATTAAAGTGAACACAACCCTTGCACTCAAAAAAAAAGGACTACTTAAAAAAAGATGTTTAATTATGTACTTTACTAGTTACATTTTTTTTAAATTTAAGCAACTTTAACTTAATTTTTGTTTTGTACAAATATATATTTATGTTAATTGAAAAAGCGGAGATTTTGCAGGAACGTTTAGGCATAATGTATACAGTTCTTACAAAAAACAAAGATATGGAAAGTGCTTATAATCACTTTTAACAGAACAATAGACATAAAACTGCTTAAAATTACTTCCATTTAAATTTGGGATCCATTTAAACATCATTAATTAATATAGAATTTAAATATTTTATGACATAACAATTTTTTGAAATTCAAAATTAATAGTTCATAATTTTGTAAGCCTTGTCTTTTGTTGAGTTTCAGCAGAATAATATTATAAAGTAGCCCAACATTTTTGTTTAGTATTACAAAAGCTTCAACTTTTGTTTTAGTTTCGCTACTCATTTAAAGCTAATGAGGCTGCCCACGGGGATGAATGCAATTCGATATTTTGTTGGGGGCCGAAAAACTATTCTCATTTTGTTTGTGCCCAGTGAAAGCCGAGGGCGAAACCAAATTTGAGTTTCAGTTTACTGAATGTTGGCCACTCGCTTTACTTAAATGCGAAATGTGTTTTTGTTTTTGTTAGTCGAAATAGATTCTATCGGAGTTTTAATAGCCAAGGAGATGGATATCCTGCCGCATTCGGTTGTTTATCATCAGTGGGGCGATAGAAGGGGAACTGCCAGCTCGGTTGCTACTCGGAAAAGCCTCGCGGCTGTTGGCCTAGCCCAAGCAACAACAAATGGGATTGGGAAATGGGAGTGGAAGCGGGGCGGAAAATGGGTGGAAAGTGGGTGGGCTTGAAGCCATGACAGGGCATTTAGGGTCGGAAAGGAACCGGGGAACTGGAAACGCTAAGCAAACAGAGCTCAAAAAGATGGAGCAGGAGCAATCGGTGGAAATAAAATATTAACTCAGCCCCGACTCTAGCCCACGATTCAATTAGAAGCGAAAGCCATTTTATAATTGAAACGAGCCGGGAGGAGCCTGAGGCCTCAATTCCCATCCTCGCGAAAGCCTTTTCAATCTAGGCCGGGCTCAGGGGGGCGGAAAATAATACACATCGATAAATATTAGCTGGGGAGAAATGATGCAGGCAGCGGCAAAGATTATTATTCATTACGGATCCGACTGCTCCCTGCGATTTTCCCCGGAGTAATTGAAAAGTTTTCCCCACCCCAACTCATCCATTCATGGCTCATCTTATGGCATCTCCTTCGGATCTTCCTTCCAGAAACAACGGCAAATGCTCAATTTGTCACTTGGAGGAGGAGTGGGAGTAGGAGTAGGAGGAGGAGTAGGAGTAGGAGGAGGAGTAGGACTAGGAGTAGTAGCAGGATGGATTTGGAGGCGTGGCAGACTGACAGATGATGCGTGTGACTAAGCAGAAAATGCTAGGGGGAAACTTATTTTCCCCCTGTTACATTTCCCATCTCTCTGCCTGCTCCCTTTCCTGATTATGATTGAGTTGATGTAGTTAATATGTTATCGACTAAGTTGAAGATGGCTTTAAAGGATGGGCACCTTCCTTTCTTTTTCTCCCCATTTCTTTCCGCTTCGGGAAAGGCAGCCTGCTCAATGTTTGTCTGCTGCTCCATTTAAATCAGTTACAGTGATTCCCCTCGAAAAACACACAGCCAAAGACACACATTTGCCTTCGTTTATTTATCTTTTGAATTATTAATGCACTCGCTGAATGACTTCGAAAGCCCACGAGTTGTTTTCCTTCTGCAGATGCGAGTGCTTTTGCTCCTTTTCTCCTTTTCATGATGTTAAAGGCTGAAGTGAAAGGTGGCTGGTGATGCTGATGATCTGGCCCTTAATCAAGTGACTCACTTTCCATCCTGCGGCGCTCTTTTGGGCGCAGATAAGTTTAATTAAAAAGACCGCAGCATTCTTTGGCTTGGCTCGGAAATAGATTTCATCCGCTGGAAAACTATCTTCTGTTGGTTAAACTTTAAAATTCCAAAAATGTTTCCACGCAAAAAGAAGAAAAATCGAAAACGAAGGCAACAAACTTTTCTGATTTCGATTTTTATTGCGGCCAGAAAATGGAAAAGCGAAAAGAGTATTGGGCAAAAGCAGAAGCCAAGTTGAGAATGAGTTTACCATGGAGATTGAAGCAGTTTCGACTGCTTCTTGGCAACAATTTCATTTTGGGACCACTCGACTGTCCTCGTTCCATTGCCATGCCCACGATCCCCACCGCATCTCCGCCCCTTGCACTTTGACCCACCTCCCTCCGCCCACTGCAGTTGGCATTCCATTCGGGCTACCTGCACACGCAACCACCAAGGATAAAGGGCGAAGTGGGAGGAGCAGCTGAATAAACACGTAGACCAAACAACAATGAGCACGGGAAAAACCAACTGAACCACTTGAACCACAAACATTTCGAAAGCCAAAGTTGTTCCCTTTTTCCAGTTCATAATTTATGCCAAACAAACACATAAATATTGCCTCAAATTTATTAAAGCACCAGCCATTTTCAACCACCATCCAAATGCGATGTGAGTAAGTTAATTCAGAATAAGTTTGCTTGGATCTCTTCTGGAAACCCTAAGCTGTTAATCTTTTTGCAACTTTCTAATTACTTTTGCATGCAAGAAACTTTTTATTTTGATTTTACAAATTACATCGCACATACTGACTCACACTTCTTAATCCCTTAATCCCATAATGCTCCAATTGGAAACATCCCTTCCTCGTAAACGCATATTCCTTTGTCAACTTCTCTTCTTTTTAAAACTGCAGTCTGATTTGCACTAAACTAAATCACTTTCTATTCAACAGGAACGGGACTTTAACGAAGATAAAATTGAACAGAGTCTAAGGGAGAAGGAGAGATAAGAGAGGAGAGAGGAGATAGAAGAAAGGAGTGTGGAGTGACCAGCAACAGAAAAGTGGACAAAGTGACAGGCGATAGCCACAAAACAACACACGAGAGAGGAGAAAAGAGGTGAGAGGAGGAGGAGGAGTAGGAGGAGGAGAGCAGGACCAGTTGACAGGAGCTCAGCCAATAAAAGCCAACCAAACTCAGTCTGGGCCAAATTTGGACACACTGATGCATACAGCCAGAGGAGGAAGAACTCCAGGAGTGGCAGAATCAGAGGAAGGCATCAGCAACAGAAACAGCAACCGCAGCAAAACAAAACTGGAAAAGTTGGTCTGAAACAGTCCGCTCAAAGGGGAAAAAGAGGAACAGCCAGCGGAAGCCGAGGCTGAAAAGTTCCCAAATTTGGTAGACAAACCTCTTTCTTGCTGTCTCTTTCCCACTTCCAACCGGAACAGTTAGCAGCAGTTGGAATTTGATTTTAACGCTTATTCGAGAGCTTGGGATCTTTTCTGAGCCCTGTGTTTGTGGCACCAGCAACTGACAACCATCACCAAGGCAGGATCCACTGGCAGCCGAATTAAAATCAGCACCAGGACAACTTCACCCCGGAAAACTCCGCCCCTGAACTCCCACTTCAAATCCACGCCTCAATGACTTCACATTGAGATTGGCTGTCAAAGGGAAGGATCCGGAAAAGGGAGCAGGACGAAGTGGGGCTGTGGAAATGTTCGCCACTTGCGGCGACACATGCTCTGACAATTTATCGACTCCTCGCAGCACCCAATAAACCAAAGACCGCTCCACCATGGGCCGCTTCCCCCCGCCCCTCCCACTCCTATTTCTATGCCTGATGTCCACTTGGCGGACCCCTTCGGTCAGCGGCTATCTGAACATTTTCATCAGCCACCACGAGGTGATGAAACTGATGGGTAAGTCCAGTCCCGTTCCGGTTCCTAATCCACTAATGAAATTTCGATTGGGGCACTAGTGGTTGACTGACACACCCACTCCAAGAGCAGGACTCCCCTAACCCGGGATCTATGATTAATAGTTGGAGGCCAATGTGCGACAGGACAAATTCATTGATCCCCGAACACGAAAACACAAACAATCCCCGAAGTCGGAGACCATGTCACAGTCATTAATAGTTCCGAAATTATAGTTGACCATTAAGGAAAGGTTGGTGGTGGGGCGTTGAGGAGGAGGTGGAATAATATGGGGATACTTAGTAAACCGAAACCACAACAAATCGCACACAAATCGATTTCCGCTGGGCCTAAACCACCCGCCTTCACCTTGCTGACAGCTGCAAGTAGCTTTCACCTCCCCATTTCCACCCCCCTCACCACTTTCCCCACCCTCTCCTTCAGTCTGCTTTCCATGCTGTTTCCCTGTCCGCGTTTCCTTGTTTGTTTTCTTGTTTTTCCGTTTGTTGCTCCACGCGAATTCTTGTTATTGATGGCGCCGGCTCCAGATCGAGCCAAGGCCAAGTTCCGCCACCCAACCCACTCCTCCTGATGCGAGTTACACGGATTTCGTAGACGTGCCAAGGCGGAATGGCCTCGTGCTTGTCGTTTGGCTCGCGATTTCCCTGCTCCTCATGTTGATTAATGGATCCAGGGAATGGAATTGGGAGGGAAAACTCCGAGGAGGAGGCTCGGAAAACTGGCCTAGTTCGCGGTCGCTACTCCATCACTCGTCGCTTAGCTGGTCACAGCATTTTCCGGCACTTAACTGTAATTGGAGCATAAATGCTTCCATCTCATTATGCAGGTTCTACTTCACTTCGTTTCCTAGTTGCCAAATCAGGGCATTTCAATTAGTTGATGGCATAAAAATAATCCACAGCCAGATGCGATGGATCCTGGATTGATGGATGAATGAGCTGCGCTGTATCCAATTATTCCCGCCCGTTTTCCACTATTTCTCATTCCCTTCTTCAAAGCATTGAAATGCATTCTGGATCAATGGGGCAAGTGGGCTCTTTCCTGTCAATTGCATTTTATAAACAACCCATCATCGTCACTATTCCCGCCTCCTTCACCTATTTACCCCTCATGCAAATCGGATTTCATTAGCGACATTTCAAAAGAACTTTCCACTTTGTTTGTTGCTCCTCGCCGTTTTCTTTGCCCGGCTGGCGGAGATTCCTTTTAAACTTCCTTGCCGTCCCCTTCTCAGATTTCCTCCCTCCATTTATAAAAGCTCGTTATGTTTTTTAACGACCAGTTAACACCACGGTATGTTTCTCCCCCTCTATTTGTGATGGTTGCCACCCCCGAGGTTGTTTCGATTTGAACATTAACAAGCAGCAGGGAATCAAACAAACTGACCCTCATCCTCCTCCCCCAATACAAAATAAAATTCCTGTGCATGATTTTCCCTTCCACTTCCACCTCATTTCCCTTTCATCCCCCACTTCCTTTCGGTCTCCATGGGAATTCCTTCATGTGGAAGGCTCGTCACGGCTGCATGACTTAGTTACACTTCCATCCAACTTATTCTGCGATTGTTTTGATGCATTTCCCCATATGGAAATGTAAATTTTTCTTCCAACTATTTGTTGGGCACTATTCGGCTTCTTCGCTGTCGTTCTGTGAACAGTAAACAAAGTTCATAGCTGTCTTCTCATTTCGTCTCAATTGTCACATCGAATTCCTTGAACTTTGCCTTTCCATAACCCTTGAATGGGGAGTATTCTTTCAATGAAGTGACGACAGCAATAAAATTAAACATTTTCTGCGCTTTTGTTGAAGATTTTCCGCCTCTGAGTTCAATTTGGATGTGTTGCCCCAGCAACGAACCATTTTCCCTCGTCGCCACCATCTTTCCCCGCCCCTTTCCATTGAAGACTTTCCTGTTCAAGGGTGCGTAAAAATGCAATTTCAACAAGTTTCGCTTTGATGTGCACACTTTTTCTTTGCCACCCGATCCCTGGTCTCCACCCTTCGGACCAGCTTCCATCCGCTCCACCCCAGGGTGGACCACAACCTTCGGCGGGTGGGCTGGTAAATTTCCCTGTATATGAAAAGTTAATGCAAAAGAAAATTATTTTTAATGAATAGAAAACAGTCAAAAAATCCCCACATTAATATTCCCTTGCTCTGGGACTCGAAATGATTCTTTTCCAAGGGTGGCTTGCATCTGGAATCCATCTTTATTGCTCTGAAATCAGGATGTAAGGAAGGAGGAGTGTAGAGAAGAGGAAATCCCAAACTGTGCCAATTGAACAGCAATTCTCATCTCTGATTCAAAGGTCAATTAGCAGGAACACCCTTAATCAGCGACAAGGTGAAACTGCATTCCCCTGAGATCGGAAGTGGAGGATTGAAGGGAGTGGAGTGCACTCTCCCAACTAATGACACTAATTATTCTCATAATCTCTTATGCAAATAGTGTCTCCTCTTTGTTGGCAATGCGAGAGCTGGGAACTAACACGGCATTAAGATTCCCCTTATACTGCCGATTTATGCCAGACTCCAGTGTCTTCCCATTTTCTGCTTCTTATCCGGAGCTCCGTAAACCCCTTGTTCCCCTCTCCCATAACTATGAGTTGCGGTTGTTGCGTCACGTGTGTGTGCCGGAGTCGTTCAGACAATCGCAATTGCAGAATTCATAATTATGGCCAGGGAGGGAAGACTTGCAGAGGTGGTTTTATAAGGAGAAAGGTATAAAATAACAAAAAAGAGAAAGAGGGCCTTATAAGCGCGGAGAAACTTTCGCGGGCAAAGTTGGCGGCACCGTGATATGAAAGACGAGTAAAGTTTGACACCAGTAGAGAAAGGGGACTTAAGGGGTGTTCCAGAAGATATCCAGGAGCAGGATGAACTTATGCAAGAGGGTGTGCAATGCCAATTGATGCCAATTAAAGTGCAGTTCAGGCTCTTGGTCCCTAGACAAGCCAATCGAGGTGACAGAAATGAAAAGGGGTTACGAAAATCGAGTAATAGAACATTTTGCGACATCCCTAAAATCAGGGCTGAATTAATTGAGGCAGTCACTTATTCAAATATCTTCCACTTCCCTCAAACTTCGCTTGACACGGTTGGCAGAAAATGGAAAAGGACTAAAAGGTACAGAATGACAGCGGAACATTGTCCTTTTTCCGTGTTTGTGCATATTGGATGGGAAGCACTTTGGGGCTATGTTTGTTTTTTTTACCACAAACTCAAAGAAATTTCATGAAGCAGCAGGTAGTTGAGGGACTAACGAGAAGAGTGGTGCACTTGGCCCACTCTGAAACCCCAGATGAAAACGCGACGGGGAGCAAAGCAATTTGGAACTCGAAAACAAACCCGAAATGGAAATAGGAAAGTGAAAAACGCATAGAGAAATGAGCTGGGAAACAGAAACAGTCTGAAGATGTAGATGAAGCTTAGACCTGGATGAAAGCTAACGAAAAATGCTTTTTCTTGTTCTGTAATTGGATTTAAAATTGTTTTAAGCAGCAAGCGCGCCCTTTGTTCTATCCTAAATGCAGCCGCACTTCCCCATCACCAATCATCCCCTCACTCAGTCCGCCGGAAGCGGAATCGCTACATTCAACATCCGGCGGAGTCTAAGGAAGAACAAGCAGCGGCAGCTCAAACTTGAAGCCGGTAAACATCCAGCATTCCCACTCCGATTTCCACTGGTGAATAGCGAACTTAGCCTGATCCCGTGGAGTAAATAATGGGGGGCACCCACTGAAGAAGTGGGTGAGGGAATAGAAATAGGAAGAGCAACAATGAAAGCGGATGAAGAAATTTAATTTCACGTCGTTTTAACTCAAGCAGCTCGTCTTTCAATGCCAGCGGGTAGGGAATTTCAATAGAGAGTGCGAGAGATCAGGCCATTCCAGGACTTTTGAACCCGCCAACGGTTGGAAGACGATGCCCTTCGATGATGAAGCAGTCGCAGTTGACACCTTTTAATATCGCCTCTCGAATCCCTTCCCCCAGGACGCCTGTCGCTCCTCATTTTACTTTGCTTCTTGGGACAGCTCCAGACACTCCCTGCATCGTCGCCTGCTGGTGACGGATTCGATTTCGATTATTATTGTGTCTTGGGTTTTGTTTACCCACCAGCATTGTCACCTCGTGTTGGCCGCTTTTCCCTTCCATCTTCGATGAGAAAATCAATTTCCGCTTAATGGTAGAGAGAAACGCTCGAGGGGAGTGTAAACAGCAATTGCACAAAGTTTGCTCAACAGTGGGGATTCAATGAGTTTAATGGAGTGGGTGTAGCCCAGCAAATTGCGGGGAAACTTTCCCTTTACGTCTGCAGTGCATCCGCATCCGCATCCACTCTCACCTCATATCCTGTCGTTTCTTTTATCCCCGCAGGACTCGAGGCGGACCTGTTCTATGTGCACGAGGGAGCCATCAACACATACGCGATGCACTTCACCGTTCCAGTGCCCGCGGACGTCCACGAGCTGGAGTTCTCCTGGCAGAGTCTCATTGCCTATCCAGTGAGTCGGATGGTGCTACCATCTAGAACCTCCGATGATTAACCATTCCACTTTCTTGCAGCTGCGCTATGCCATTAGTATCGAGTACAACAACGACCAGGAGGCACTGGGCACGCCCACGCTGAGTATTCCGCACAAGGGCCTGGTGCCGCAGGATATCGAGTCCTTCCTGGTCTATCTGCCCTGCACCGGCAATGTGAGCCTGCAGATGCCCGTCAATGTCAACATGGTGGTGCAGGCTCCTCCCCGATTCAACGACACCCGACTCCACTTCAAGCGCAACAAGATCTGCGCAAAAGGTGGGTACCATTCGGCACTCCCCATGTAGAACACTCACTTATCCATCACTCATCGGTATCCTGTTCCGTAGGCATCTCACCTGAGCCCAATCAATCGCCGGCACCCGCCCACGCCCCCTCCCAGGGACCCGCCCTCCTGAGTGCCGCCGCCTGTGCTTTGGGTCTGGTTTTGGCCGTCGGGCTGGTGGCCAGCATGATGTATGTGAGGGCTCGCAAACAGCTTCGCCAGGACTCGCTACAGTGGGTTATCACCCCCACCCGATGCCGTAAAACCATTAACACTTTTCACCATTTTGCAGCACCAGCTTTACCACCGCGGCTTATGGCAGCCACCAGAACGTGTTCATCCGCCTGGATCCCCTGGGCAGACCACCCAGTGCCACGGGATCCTATGCGACCATTGCCAGCCTCAACAAATACCCAGCGGACAGCAAGAAGTCATGCAGCATATTCGACCGTAAGTTCATTACCCACTCGCCCATTTTTTGGGTGACCACTAACCCTGGCAATCCCTCCACCAATCCACAGGTTTCAGGAGCTCACCCACCCCCACGCCTTACGCCACTGCCCTGCTGCCCATGAACCTCGAACAGACCGCAGAGACGATTTACTCGAAGCCAGAGTCGATCTGTCCCTCGAGGATTTCCTACTACGCCTCCTCGCAACTGACCCAGGTGAGTGCTGTGATTCCACTATCTAACCCACTATCGACTATCCCAGGGGCTTGATTGGATTTGAAATGGGGATTGGGACTGAGGTCCACTGTTGAATCAAAGCCTTTGATATATTACGACACGTGGCAGGCGCAAATGGAAATGGAAATGGGAATACCCTTGAAGCAGACTCCGCTTTCCCTGTTGCCTGGACTACCCTCTAATTTGTCCAAAGCACCACTCGATTGCTCCCCAGGCGGAGGACCCTCTCTCCCCCCTCGCCACTTTCTCCACTCGCCAACCACCTTTCCTCGACGATAAAAATTAAATTCTAATTTATATTTACGAGCTGATAAAGCTCCCGTAGTGCGTTAAACTCGAAACAAGAGCCATTCATAAATATGCGGCTTTTCCCACCCGCTCACCCCCCTCAAGGATGTCTGGATGTCTGGGTCTGATTTCGGATGGGGAAACTTTCGTGTGGTGCTCACGTACTTCATGTGGCAGGTGAAGAGTGGGAGTGGGAGTGGCAGTGGGAAGTGGGCGAAGGTGAAGGCGACACACAAACCCAGTGCCTCGAGAGTCAAATGATGTGAGTCCTTCGAGGGTGAGCAGGTGAATGCAGCAGGAGAGGGGAGGGATGTCCGCTTAGATAAGCGAAAGGTGCTCCATTGAGGCAGACGCAGACAGTCTGCCCCTGTTTATCTTTGTTTTTGTTTCCAATCCAGTGGCTTTCTAGCAACGCATACCCCTTGGGCCAAAATTAGCAAACTTAATCGAAACTAATTTAATCCAAACTTAAACCAAAACTATTAAGGTTCCTATCAAAACTCACTGGGATTATTTCCCATGAACTTAAGGTTTGATGTCTCCTCCTTAAAAGCACTTGCTCTCTCTAGAGAGAACATTAGCATTTCTTTCGAGCCAAGTTAACTTCTTAGTGTTGTGGAAATCTCTGTCAAATTGGAATAAATTATTTAGCAGCCTCTTTCAATTGTTGTCCTTGTAAACATTCCTGAGACCCAACTCTGCCATTTTTCTAGTCCTACTTCATTCCCCCCAACATCCTGATGACTGGCCCATTTTCGTCACCAAGTTCTAACGCAATTTCCATCGACGCATAATTAAATATTCAATTTCCATGGCGACTGGAGGGGCTTTTTATGTGCTCAGCTTAAAGCATCTCCTTTGGCCTGATCCCGCTGCTTGTTTGCCCAGCGATTTCTGTTTGTTTAGACTTCAATTTCGTCCTCATTATGGAAACAGCCTCCAATTGCTCCTCCTTTACCCACTTACATGGTTATCAGGGCACACACAATGCCAAGAGTCATATCCATTTGGATTCGCCTCTATCTAGTGGAAGGACATACGCATCGAAGCAGACGGCAGGGAATTAAATGAATTCGCTGTCTCCCTCTCAGTTTGTCTCTATCTCGTTCCCTCCCTCGATATATCCTCATATCCACCAAAATTGGAGTGGAGATTCTGTTGGTTGCGAAGTGGTGAAGGAAATGGGGATGTGGTTGGAGTTTGAGAGTGCTTGCCATAATTATTGTTGTTCCGTTCTGTTCAGCTCCCCATCCAAAGCACTCCTTCCCCTCCCCTCCCCTCCGCTTTCCATTCCTTTTGGCCATGTGTGTGAGCGTTAAGCGAAGTATAGCACATTTTGGGGGCACAAACAAGGGGCGAACGCACTCATTTAGTCAAACAATTATATCCAATTGCACACAGATACTCTACGCACCCACACACACATCCGCAGTCTGGCTCTGTTCACTTGTGTGGAAATATCTCATTTGGGTGTGGACCCATCCCCTCTTTCCCCCCTTTGATTCTATTAAATCAGTCTATAAACGCCATCCAAATTACTTTAATGTGCAGCGAAAGTTTAGCAAAAAGCAGTAACAGGGAAGGCCACAACAATGGGGTTGGAAAGAGGATGGCGAGGGGGTTAAGACGGCTTAGAGAGGGAAGTAGTGGAACATAACAATAAAAACAGCAGCGAACAGAAACCAGACTACAGCTGTTGAAACATGACTTTGCGCTTGTTTAGAAACACTTGCAAATATTATTGCAGCACCAACAACAAAAGCCAAGTTCCAAACGGGGGAGGGTTTAAGTAAGGACAACAGGGCGGATGCGCCATGTGCAGGAGATCCGACAACCATGGAAACAGAACGGCACCTAAACAGTGGCATTAGTATATTGGATCAGAGCTTCGAAATCAGAGCAAACAGTGGAATCGCAGCGAAAGGAACCCCGAAAGGCTGTAATGGGTTAAGGAGGAGCCGGGAACATCGTGCCACGCATTTGAATGGCATCATTAGGGAGAAAGTTGTCGAAGTGCTTGGGCGTACTCGCAGTACAGACGAAATTACGAGACGGAGAGCAAGGAAAAGTTGGAAATTAATTACCATGGAGCTGCGAGCATGTCCTCCTGTTTTATGGAGATTACTGGATCGACAAATGGCAGGCTAACCTGAGCAACAGCAGGAACAGGTGCTAATTAAAAATGTTGTTGTCGCCCCATTAAAGAAATTTGTAAATCAACCCGGAAACGACGCGCTCAGCATGGGAGCAAAACAAGCTCCGCGGGGGGAAATCCAGGGAAAAGGGGAGCAATCTATGGGAATCCCCATTTCAAGTTGGCGACACGTACTACTTTAATGGATTTACCGCTGTTGTTGCTTTTGATTAAAAGGCATTACTTACATTTGTGACAAAACTTGGGGTGAGGTTGAAAAAAAAGATGGGGCCGTGAGAGGACAGTTAATGGTTGTCGTGGTATGTGACCAGCCAGGTGGCGATTCCAAGGGTTAACCCGCCGAACAAAAGCCGTCACCAAAGGTTGACAAATTACCCAACCGTCAGTCGATATTTTTTCCTTACCTCAACTCTCGCCCATCCGCTGGGGATTCCCCTTTGGGCGGGCAAACTGCGGCGGATGCTTTTGTCTGGCATTACACTATATTGATTGCTTCCTGTCAGCCGCAGGAGAGACAAACGGAAGTGGCGGATGTTTCTTTTGTTCCGATTTTTCCTTTGTGGTCCAAGGACCACAAGAGTTTTCCCCCCTTTTGTTGGAAGTGCTGGTTGCACACTGCACTTCACTTTCGGCGTTGACGTTACATGGAAATCGTTTGAAGCGAATTAGAGTACAAGATTTCTCCATTAAAATGAGTGTGTACGTCCAGTGTCCGCATCTTTAATTAACAGTTTTCTATTTGCATTTAAGTGCCTTCCTAGGGAGCAACGAACTGGACAAAACTGCTGTCCAAGCGATTGTGAATTCATTTAATTTCCAGAGTCAACAAGCCAAGAAAATCAATGGAAATCCGTTCGGAACATATGTAAATTGTGCAACCGCATTATTAAATTGGGGAGGGGGGGAGGAGTAATTGGAGGAGAGATGAAAGGAGGGGGCGGACTTGGGCGTGGCCCGGACACGCAATGGCTAATTGAAAGGCAATTACTCGTGATTAAGTGCGTGTAAGCGGCGACTTTGGTTAAGTATGCGCCACCTTTAATTAGAAGCCGGTAACCCAGACCACCCATATTCCGTCCGACATCTTCCCTCTTCAATTATGCATTAGCCGAAAAACCGTTTTTGGTTGCCCCGAAAACGCTTATTAAACGACGAGCCTAACGAGGTCGACTCATCAAAATGCCATGCATCAAAGGAAGACAGCGAGAAGGGGGGAGGGGCAAAAAGAGGCGGGGCCAGCAGAATCGATCAGGCATAAATCAAACGAAATTCAAATTAGTTGGGCCCCGGCAAATTAGAAGGCACACACAGTTTGTCCTGGCAGCATCGGCCATGGAAATGCTAAAATAATGAGAGTTCAGTTAGTTGGCCCCAAAAAAAGACGAGGGAAAAGTCAGACAGAGAGGCTTTCCACTTTGATTAAAGGCTTTTCCACAGAGCCCAAAAAGGAAAGACCTGTTGTCAGGTAAATTGAAATATAATTGAGCCAACGGCAAGCAGGTCGTTCTGTCGCCTCCACCTGGCTGCCCGCATTTCATCTGGTTCCACTTCACTGCCATGGCTTATTAGGACAAGGCGATATGTTAAAAACGTTGTCATTGTCTGACTAAAGTAAAATATAGTGCTGGGGAATGGGCGGCGAAAGTGCTGCATATTTGCAACAGCATCAGCAATTTGCATAGTTTCATTTTGTGACAACCATTTTTTGGAACAGTGGGTTGGTGGCTTAAAAAAATTGTTCTAATAATGAGGGTATATGATTATAAATACAAACATACTAAATAACTGCTTGAGAAAATTCATAAAGGTGTGAAAAATATTTTGTTAATTGAGAATAAAAACAAAACATTATTATTATTATTAAAGGAAACGTACCTTGTCTTTTTCGATTTTAAACAAATTAATTTGCTAACACAAATATTTTAATATAACACTCTCGGATTTTAATTTGAATTTAAATATTTCATATTAAATTATCATTAAACAATTAAAAGTAAGAGTTAAATTCTTCAATTTTATCAAATAGTTTTGTTTTTGAACTAAGTTAAAATTAATTAATTTATAACAGACTCCACTCTTACATTTCTTTTGTTGTGTACTAAAAAATAAAACTTTGCCACAGAATTTAGTTAGAGGTTGCCCATCTCGAAAGTTGCAGCGGTGAGACTTCATTAAAATATTTCCACCCCCCCCTGGAACCCACTGTGCGGTGCTGGGGAAACTGTGTGAAAATGTTGTGCTGCTTTTCCCTCTGATGTTGCCAAAAAGTTGGGCTGCAGTTCGGTTTGCAGGCAAGTGACGTGCTGACGGGCGTCGTTCTGGCAAAATTGTCATCAAGCGTTTTTAATTACAAGCCGGTCGAGATTGGGGGCAGACGGGGCGTGGCAGGGGGCGGGGCAGTGGGGCAGCGGTGGAGCGGTGACGATGGTTGCGGCTGTTGTTCCTGCGGGCAGCCGTAGAGCTGCATGTGACATAAGCAAATCAGACGCCTGTCAACTCGTATGTGTACGTTGTTGTGCTGGTGTTTGTGCTTACGTCATTTGCAGGCCAACCCCTCGGACACCTAACCATACCACCCCCCACCACCCTGTTGTCATTAGAAATGTCACAACAAGAATACAGGACCAGCTGCAGCACATCCCTCAAACGAATGTCCCGTATCCTTGACACCCAGCTGGAAATTCGGCTTCAAAAACTCAGAGCCACCACCCACCGTATCATGGCAATGCGATCTGTGATCGAAATGTGAGTGGGGCCCACCCTCAATTGGCAGCTATTTTCAGTCTTCTTGGCCATTTCGAATTTCAAATGAAAAGCCAAGCAATAATGTCTCCTCGTTTGACATCCGCATTTAATATTGACCTCGCCATCCCCATTCCAATCGAACGCTGAAATGAACATTTCCATTTGCAATTCGAGCTGTGGAGACACTCTTATAAAATCGCTTTCCCCATCCTTGTTTATTGGCAATCATCATTGGCCCATTCTCGTTTTAATTTTACCGACATTTTCCGTTTTTATTGGCCTGCTCACACAGACGCAAAAATTTCAAGTATTTCTTCAATGACAATCAACTAAGATTGAAAGCAATAAAGCTAAGAGTGCAGAAGTCAATTGCAGTTCACAATTATTTTGCTTGAAGTCATTTAACTATTTAATCTGCCACTTGAAGTGCTTTTTCAGAGTATTATGAAATATTTCAGGCATGATTTGCTGAGATTTCGATTGCTAATATTTCAAAGAAAACTAACAAGATTTAATATAAGGGCTCAAAAGTCATTTGAAGTAAGCAAATATTTTATTTGATTCTTAATTGGGGTAGTTTGTAATTGGTCGTATCATTAGAAGAGCATATTTTGTTAGAATATAAATTATTATTTATTGCTTGGGTTGATAAATTTGAGAGACAATTGGGTTATTTGACTTTATAAAATTTTTATTAAATTGTCAAGATTTGTAATCACAATATTTAAATCACTTATTAGGACTAAAGCAGCTATACTAGTTTCTTTCTGTGCAGCAATTAATTATGAATTACTACTCGAACTCAATTCCGATTCCGATTAAATGAATTCTAATTACACTTGAGCGGGACTCATTAACGTTTTAAAGGAATCCAACAAAGGATTCCGAATGTAACCAGAAAGGACAGGTTCAAGGTCTGGCAGACATCCGCTTTCTGAGGGAAAGGGACTCTTTTGCATGTGGATCCCGTAGGATTTATGGCTCAGTCAGGATACGCCCCACCAATCCAATCGCAGCCAGCCACAGGACCTCTTTCCTGGCTTGAGGGGCCAGCGGACAGCTTTGATGATGGAGTGCGATATTGTTGCGTTTTAATTGAATTTTCTTTGTGGGCCAACAGCAACAATAGCAGCAGCAGAAGCACGACAAATACAATAAAGGACAAACAGCAGGAATCACAGGAATTGCGGGCTCGGGCAGCAGGGTTTCAACTTCAGGAAAGTGGCAATGAAGGCAATAATGAAATGAAATTCACTAACAAAAGGCAGCCAGCAACTATTGTTTTTATTGCCTTTTGTCGCTGTGGTCGTGCGAATGTGCTGCAATTGTGTCGTTTGGCTTCCTCCCGGCGATTGTGTCCTTTCATGCTGCTTTCGCAGGAGCTGTTGTCAGGCCACACCAAATAATATAATTCCCGCATATTGCCAACGGTGGCTTTTAATAAAAACGCCATCCACCTGCTGCTGGTTGCTGCCTGATGGAGATTTAGTGTCCAGGGAAAGCCAGTGGATCCACTTGAACTCGGCCGCAGTTATGCAGATTTCTGGGGGAATTGTGCAGATTTTTCTTGTGTTTATTAGACCGAGTTTCTTCCCATTTTTTGGCAAACTGTTTCATGTTTTATGAGAATAAATGTGCTGCGTAGGCAGGAATTTTAAGGCGTGGCTGGGGGGAAGTTAAGTTGCTATCTGCTGCCATCGCAGACTTTGTTTGCTTAAGACGAGTTCGCAATTTCCTACAGCTGAGCTCTCCAGCTCCATTCAACAATTCCCCTCCTGGCGGCTGTGCAAACATAATGCTTGGCGAATTAAAGCTTTTTTGCCAGCCAATAAATTATTCATGCTGTAAGACAACTGAGCGAGGGGCAAAATTATAGCTGGCAAAGATGTGGGCGGAGTGCCTCGGAGCGGAAACGGAACTCAATTCATTAAAATGAATGAAACGGAGGAGCGCAGCCGAGTGCATGACTAACGGTAAACGGATGCAAGTCGAAAGATGCAAATCCGGCAGCTGAAATTGCTGTTTCTCTTGCCAAAGTCGTTGCCAGTTGGCCTCTTTGGGGGCCCAAATTAGATGGGGTACGGAAATATGGAAATTTATACAGTTTCCTCGACTCAAGTGTCCTGCCACTGAGCAGCTTACTCGATCGGAAGCCCCTTCTGCATTGAAGGGCGGTAATCTTGATTGCCATATTGGCTCAAATTATACATCGCTTATATGTTTGATTTCCCACTTGAAAATTTCACATTACCCGTTAATATATTAGTTGATGAATAAGTTATTAATTGATTTGTGTTTTAATTATAATCAGCCCAGAGCTTTAATACGCTGCAAAAGGTTAGTAGTGAAGGTTGAACTTAAAGTTAAATTGCGATATTTGAGTACTTTAAACAGTTTTCATGTCTTTCAGCAAGAGCTAAGATAATTAAAGGTTGGATAAGTTTGAATTCAAATCAGATACTTACCAACACAAACAACTATTTAATTAGAGCTTAGAAAGTTAATTTAATTGTATGGTTGTTATATTACAAGCCAATCTTGAATTATAGTGACGCAATTATCAAACACAAACAAATATATAATTAGAGCTTGTAATGTACGATTTATATGATTGTCATTTAACAAACACCCTGGGTTTTAATTAATTTAGTTGATGTAACATACAGGATTGGACTGATTTTAAAAACCCATTTATAAATATAGAATTGGCAGTACATATTAATTGTTTTTTATATTTCTTTTAGGCGTGCAGTTTGTCGACGCCGAAGAGCATCCGGAGCAATGGCAATGGTCATTGCAACAGCGGCAGTGGCAGTCTGAGTCTTTTCGGGGGCATCCCCACCGGCAGCACCATCACGATGGGCAGCCACGGGGAGAAGGGCAACCAGCGACTGCGCCGCATTCCCAGTGTCCAGCCGGGTGCCCTCAGTTACGAGGAGCTGGTCAAGGAGGGCACCTTCGGCAGGATCTTCGCCGGCAAGCTGGGCGAGTCCTGCGAGGCACTGGTCAAGACGGTCATCGACGGGGCTTCGCTCACCCAGGTGGCCTATCTGCTGCAGGACGCCTCGCTCCTGATCGGAGTCAGCCACCAGCACATCCTGGCACCGCTGCTGGCCAACACCGAGCTCCCGGGACCGCCGGAGATCGCCTATCCCTATCCGTCCAAGGGCAATCTAAAGATGTGAGTATACTAAGGGAAAAAACTAATAACCCGTTCTTCACTTCCGTGTTACAAAATGCGTTTTAAATAAATTAAATCAATAGGTAACGTTCTTAAAAAAGTACACCTCTTAAAATAATTAAATACTCTACATTTCGATGATTAAAAATATATTACATAGTCGTCCGATTTTTATAAAAGTAAGACCGTAATTCTAAAATCGTTTAAAATTACTATATTGGAGTGTACGTGTTATACTATCAGAAACAAAAAAAAAATTTTTCTAAGTTTCATGGCGGTCGAAAATAGTATTGACCTTAAATCTTAAGTTCCTGAACCTTGAATAGACTATTTATATTTCATAGAGTTAAAACCTTTAATAATATATGTCTATACTATATAACAATTATCTTCTTCCCTTACAGATACTTGCAAAAGTCGCGCGAATCGAGCACGGCACTGAGTACCCGCCAGCTAGTTGAGTTTGGACTGCACATCACCAAGGGATTGGCCTACCTGCACTCCCTGGGAATCGTCCACAAGGACATTGCCACACGCAATTGCTAGTAAGTATTTAATATACACATATATAAATCTTTTAGCTGGTATTCAAATTAGAATCATTAGGATTTGTTATTGTGGGATTGGTAAAGTAAGTGTAAGTTAATCATCGTAAAGCTAAGTCAGGAATATCAGCAGAAACCATCACCTGAAGTTCTTTAGTATTCATCACCCAAAGTTCAAATTTATTTAATGAACAGACCTATTATATTCTTATTAAGTTTTAATCGATGTCATTCAAAAGTATCCAAGATATAAACGCCAAACAATCGAGTCGTCAATGTGAGAAGAATTCCAGAGTGTAGTTGCGAATAAAAAGTCGGTCTCTCTTTTTTTATAAGTTGTATCAAATCGTTAATTTACTTAAATAATCCAAAAACTATAACTTCGCGCCAACTAAAATTTGTATAATCCTACATTGTTTTACTAATATTATGTGCAGCCTTGACGAAGAGTCCTATGTGAAGATCTGCGACAGTGCCCTGTCCCGCGATCTATTCCCGGACGACTACGACTGTCTGGGCGACAATGAGAACCGCCCGCTGAAGTGGCTGTCGCTGGAGTCGCTCCAGAAGCGGGTGTATGCCACACAGGGCGATGTGTGGGCGTTGGGCGTGACCTACTGGGAGCTGGTCACACTGGCCCAGATGCCGCACGAGGAGGTGGATATATTCGAGCTTACCAATTACTTGGCTGCCGGCTTTCGGCTAGAGCAGCCCGTCAACTGTCCAGATGAATTGTGAGTACTCAGCAGAATGGAAGAAATATGGCTAACAAAATTAAAAAAATATATATATAAAATTTGTTTCCACTCTCGTTTTGGCCTTTAACAACCCTTAGCTTCACCGTCATGAACTGCTGCTGGCACAGCGAGGCCAAACAACGACCCACGCCCTCACAGCTGCTCTCGTATCTGCAGGACTTCCATGCGGATCTGGGCATGTACATCTAAGCGAGACGAAGGACTGACGACCGGGAGCCAAGTGAAGTCAAGCGGAGCGAAGCCTAAGATAAATTAATTGAAACTTTTGCATTTTAAATGTGAGATTAAATGTGAATTTACCTGTTAGAGTTTGGCGCAAAACCAATTACAATGAAAGCCAGCTAACTTCAGATACGTAAGCAACACGCAGATACACACACACAAGTACACTGGGGTGGACCTAAATGAGTTATACAAAATCTAATCTCTGGATGTGTAATGAAAAATATATTTTAAGCCTGCGGAAAGGCAAAGAACATCATGAAAATAAGGTGTATAAATTAAGATCACACTGCGCACAAGTGATAGATTATATGTAAACATCGAATATTCTAGGGCCGCAGCTGCATATAAGTGGGAAAATAAAAAAAATAATTCACTGCACTTAAAGCGTATACACGGCGTATGAGTGATAATGTCTGCAACCAACTTATTGCCCCTAAAACGTGCACATGAGCAAACTAAATCTAACTGAGTCACTGCTTTTAAGGAATATAAACAAGTGATACAAGTTTTAAGCACCTCACTCCGCGTAAAGATTACATGGCATTAGCTAGGCCACACTGCGTATGAGTAATATGCAAGACCAACTCACGGCCCTTGAAATCCAAAGCACTACAAAAGTTAGATAGCAACTCAGGTCCACCCAATAATATAACAGTTTGTGGCTATCAATTTTCAACGCGATGACACAAAGCCTGGCACGAAATGGCCCCCAGGCAGCACGTGGGTTAAGCGTTAGATAAATCTGACATTTAAGTAGTTAGCAATTGAATAACAAACACTCACACGCAGAGCAACACACACACACACACGTACACTCGCAGACACTAACCTTACATGATAAATGAATGTGAATTATTGATGTGCATATTTTATTGAATGTGTGTAGAGTAAGCAAAGGACGAAGGATTGAACGGGGAGAGATGCGACAACAGGATGCGGAATCTTTTGTTCACGAATGTTGTCCTCGATTGTTATGAAAGCGATATATTTATTTACCTTGATTATTATTATTACTATGGCGTATGTCATAAGGGAGGAAGTTCAAAGCAGAATCTGAATCAGGTGAAAAGCAAAAACAGCAAATGTTAAACCGATGGCAAACAACCGATAAACATTATTCACACCCACTCACACACAATTACACACAGTTGCATGCGTAGAGGTCCCTTAACACCTTGATAACCAAAACCCTTACTCTTTAACCCTCTTCTCGCTCCTCGCTCGCATATCGCACTAATTCCGTTTTGGAGAACCTTGTCGCAATCGTTTCGTTGCTCAATTATTTCGATGTCAAAGGACAGGGGAATAATCCAAGCTCCTGACAGGCCAAGCCATCAAAAATGCAGATGCAGCTGGGTTTTCGCTCAGTGCATTTGCAGCTTGTAGTGCCTGCATTTGTTTTCCGAGCTGTCATTTGGCCCCAATCCGAGCCAAAATCTCCAGCTTAAGACGTCCTTGCTGTTTGTTTATGCCTTTTAGTTGAATTAGCCAAGAATTGTTTCTGTTTCTGTTTCCATTTCCCCAGAGTTATGTATTAATTTGCATTTCCGTTAGCCAAGTCAGGCGACAACTTAAAGTTGTCAGGCCCCAAAAGAACCCCACCCCAGAATAACACTAGACAAATATACTGGGATGGATGAAGGTGTGCTTTAAAGGTTTTACTGATGTTGAAGCAATAATTTTGATTTTAACTACAGCACACCTTCGCCTATCCCAATATATTGTCAAAGGTCAGTGTAATTAATAGCTAATGCATTGCCGTCAACAGAAGGCCATCACTTAAACGTAGTTTAAATGTTCTCTGTACTAATTAAACACAAAAATAAAATCAGCAAAGAAAAGAAAACAAAAAAACAGTCACGCACCGAAATAACTAAGGATGAAATAGAAAATAGTTCCAGACCAGCAGCTGCTTATTCGTCTAGCTACGTAAGCTCTTTCCATATGTTTTATTCTTAAGCTTCGCACTCGACTATGAAAACGTTACTAAAGCAAATACCGAACTGCAAACTATCTCTGCATTTAATAAATACCCCAAAAAGGCAGCCGGGCAGCTCATAAACACACACAAACACACTAACATATAACACATACAGACAACTGTACACACACCTACAATTATCCTGTGGAGACAAACAAATTTCAAATAGATTAGAAAGCTAAGGAGACGGAGCTCTTGAATCAAAGGAGCGGCCCACTACTATAACTAACTGAATGTGTTTCATGTTTATATATGTGTACGTGAGTGTATGTCTATGACTAAACGTATATTTTGTCGTCAAATTGAAAACTAACTGTAAACGCTATTGAGAGGCAAACAAAACGAATACCAGCAAATGTGTAAAGCCCGGAAGGAAAAGGCTAAGGCACACACACACACAGACAGACACTCACACTCCAACACACACACCCACACACACACCCAGATACCCAAAAACCACAAAGCAAAACAAATTGTCATTCACTCTGCATATGTCTCACTCTTTAACTCTATATAGATGTATCTCTGTATCCTACTTTTAGATATACTCTAGCGTATGATTGTATGTGTATACAGAAACTCGAAACTAATGCGTTTTCGTGTGGAAAAAAAAACAAAAACAAAACAAGAAGGAATATCTGCTAAGACACACAAACACTCGAAACGCCCTCACACCCTTTAAGAACCCCCCCACCCACACCCCACCCCTCTATCTATCCAAGCGCTATTATAACGATGGAAGTGGGCGTGGCACTAAGACAAAGCTAAGAAGCAAAACGACAACTGAAAGCAGAAATTCAATTTTTGTGAAGAGCGGCAGCCGAAAACGAAAAAAAAAAACAAACAAAAACAAAAACAAAGCAAATAAATTAAATGTTCCTTTTGAATCATAAACAAAAATTGCAATCAGAGCAATCTCAGTGCTTTATTAATCAACTGTTGGACGGTTTGTATGGTCAGGGGAAGTCGGACAAAAAAAAGGCCTGTGGAGTGGGGGTATGGGGAATGGGCCCGATTCGATGGGCGGTCCTGATCCATTCCATGCGAGGGCACGTTCGCACACAACAGGAGCGGCTCAGAGGACCTCGAATTCTGGGCGTCATACAATGGGGCCGTAAAAAATAAACTGAAATCTAGCTTATGACCTAACTTCACTCATTCGTTACGGAAACTACTCTATCTAAAAATCAACCACAAATTAAAAATGGGTAATATATAGTAATAAATAAATTTATTACAATGTTCGAGGGATATGGTTTTGTAACCGATTCCTTCTTATCGATCCATGTAGTAAGGTGACCCAGATCTGCCTAACTTAACTTAAACAATTGAAGGTAAAAGTATAAGATTTAAAATTAATTTATTGAATTAAATTTGACAATTATAAAGATTTCAAACTTTTTCAAAACTATTAAGAAATGGTATTGAAAGTTTTTGTCGGCAGATGATTTTACATGGGTTTTCGGACCAAAAATTGTGTTTAAAATTTTTATTTTGAGATAACAATTGTAAGCGAAGAAATTATATTTTGAGAATAGGTTTTTATAACTTTATTTTTTCCAAACCCATTTGGGGCTCTTAAAAGGTTTTCCTGAAACGCTCCTGGACAGGGTCCACCATCCTTTAACCCAGACAAACATATTTGCCGTGCGTGTCAAAAACTGAGCGATGCGCATTTGCTGACCCCAGGGTATCCTTTCTTCATGGGATTCGTTTGCGCCGCTCTAATTACAAAGTACATTACCTCAAACATCTCGACTTCGGGAGACCCTAAACATTTTAAAAATGCTCAACATTTTTGAAAAAAATAGAATTGAATAAATAGATCCTCTCTTTTACAAGTAAACAAAAATGTCATCATTTTACTAAAATAGTCATTAAAGAAAAACACTTCATGTTTCCTTGGCCCATCTTAATGTACAATTTTTGAATCAATGTCCTCTTAAAAACCTTTATTTAATAAAAAAAACTTAGTTTCCCCAAAACAAGCCGAATCTAAAGAGTGTATATACTCATCGTTTCCTCCGATCACCAGGTACTATCAATCTTTTTTGCTCTCGCCCTCGGAGCTGTCTCTGGTCATTCGTTTTTTCACCCATTCTCATAACGACAAAACTTTGAGTGGCAGCACCAAAAGCGGGGGTTTGTCCAAGGGGGGAGGGAAAAGCTGCGTTATGTGTTTGCCTCTGAGCCGGCAAAAAATGGAATCGGAAAACAAAACAAACTAAATGGGAAAATCCGGGCCCGAGTTTGTCGTGAAACAACATCGTTGGCCCTGCGTGTCCCCTCAACTTGGGCAAACTGCGAAATGGGAAATGGGAAAATGGGAAATGGGAAGTGCGAGAAGCGGAAGTCTCCCACGCGGATACATCAACATCAACAGGTGTTCGTAAAGCACTGCGGCCATTCCATAGGATTAAGTTTTGTAATTAGCAAAGTCTGATTGAATTGGAAATCATGTTTGCGCATTAATGAGCAATTAGTTGACGCATTATGAGTGTCTGTCCCACTCGATTTGTGGCTGGTTGCATTGATAAGATCGCGGTAATGAATGGGGCTATATATGTAGATATATGGGGAATAGATGAAGCTAAATACAAAAATATTATACACACTATAAAAACAACATACATTTTTATTTTGTGATTAAAATACAGCAGAAATAAATAATATCTATACATTATAAAGTCAACATCCAAAGACTTAAAGAAAACAAGGTTAAGGTTTGCCGGCTTACATTTACCACTTATATTAAAATTTATTTTTATAAAAAGAAGAATTCTTAAAATATTAAAATAAAAATCAAGTTTTATTAATTCCTTAATTGTATGGTTTTTTTATTAAAGAGTGAATTTCTTTAACTTTATTTCCCAAATAAAGTTCACATTCATTTGCACAATAGTGTAGGGTGATTAATTAATGGGGATATGCTTTTGTGGGCCCGTTTGGCAGGCATAAATCAGAATTCCTGATTGAGTTTATCGCAGCATTTTGCTATTTTAATCTATTTAGCATTTAATTGGCAGCCAGAGGACCAGCAACAGCCATGAAATATGCAAAACGCTTTTTAAATCATTTAAAAGGCTTTATTATTTATGAATTCTGATGATTTGTGGCACTATGGCCGCGCCGGAAATCGATACCACCAGGCACTAAAGCAATTAAATGCGAGTAAACATATCAAGCGGTCTTTTGGTGGCAATGATCGAAATGTTAGATTACAATATAATGTATATTTTTATCCTGCGGTTTTAACAGTGCATTTTTTAAGCGTGATTTTCAACTCAATCGGTTTAATTGTTTATGCAGTCCGCGTTTGCCTGGAATGTTAAACAAATTGCGGTATTGCGGGCATATTGCATTTTTATCTGCTCCGCATTATGTGCTTTCACTGCTGCTGATGTGTTTTTTACCGCTTTTAATTAAAATGATGTACAAACTTACATATGTATATATATGTGCTGGAGCCGCAGAGAACTCCAAACCACAAAATAAATAGATTCTTTCCGAATGATGGAAAAAACCCGCAGCTCCGATTATGTTTACGAGTTGGGGCACAAGGCTCACTGGATTGTTATTACAGCTTCCAGTTATCGCAGTGGATTTTCCATTTGATTAAACGTAAATATTGTAGGAAAAACAGCGTCCAAAAACTGCAAGCAGAGTCGCAAACTGCCAATTGGTGGGGAAAGTTCATCAATTTGACGGCGAAACTCAATTGCCAGGGCTGTTTGTTAGTTATATGCTGCTGTTGCATTAATTAAAATTTTCCGCCCGGCTGCACGGCGAGCAACAATAACCACTGGAATAATTCAACTTGATAGACAGCCCAACCGGCAATTAAACATTCGGTGCACCCAAGATCGAATCTAAAGTTGTGTCTGCCACAACAGCAACAGCCAACTTATCGCCAGCGACACCAGACAGCTGCAGCTGCAACATTTGCCCATTTGGCTGAATAAGTTGTGGGTGGGGCAAAGTGCTGACAGCGATAGATTGCAGAAAGTAGCCAAAACAAAAGCATTTAAAATAAATAAAAATACCTGGCGACTTAATTCACGTAGCTGTAAAACAGATAACACATTTGTTTTACTTTAGCAAACACAGCTTTTTAATTAAATTATTATTTATTTTATATAGTTTTTTCTTTGTTTGTTGCTGTTGTTGAATCAATAAATAAAAGTTTAATTAGAATCAATTGTTTGAGAGACTCATGACTCACGTATTTTTTTAAAAAACCAACTGACAACCAAAATATTAAGCAATACATAATAATAAATAACTAAATATTTATTGATTTGCATATTTTTTTATGTTGCAGCTCTTCAATAAGAAATACAACTTAAGATTGTACTTAATCTGTATTCTCCGATTTTTAGAAAAATACATTTTGTGATGTTCTTTAAATTTTATTCAAATGTCATTACTGATTTAAATTTATTTTCTAATCGAAAAATTGTAAATTGCTTAAATTGAATAGTATTCTCTGTGATTTGTATAACAAATGTTTATACCAAAATATTTTAAAAATGTAAATTTAAAGTCTGACACTTTTAATATAAACATATTTATATTATATTTTGAAAAGCAATAAGAAAAATCTGAAACTTAGCTGGAAAAAAGTCGACATAGCATTTCTGCTAGTTCAGCTATTGATAATATAAAACGGCAAGAGCAGTTAACAACTTTCGACCGTTTACAACTAACAAAGGGTCACAAATCAAGTTGGTCGGAGGGTTGGCTCGTGACTAACCGGAAGTCGCCATGTGCAAGAATTCCGCCATCCAGCCGCCCAGCCCACAAATCCCTCCCACTTCTACTCCCACCCACACTCCCCATTTCCTCGCCACCCGTAATTTTCCAACTTGGGCCGCCTGCAGTGTTGCGATTTAATTAAAGCGCCATTAAGTCAGCAATTAACAACAACAGCGGCAGCAACAATGGCAACCAAAGCTAAAGCTAGAGCAGAAACAACAACAACATTGCCAACAAAGGGCAAACAACTTTGACGCCCTGGCTTCGGCTATACGTTTTCCTTTTGTTTTTCCCGCTTCCGTTTCCGCTCTTCCCGCTTTCATTATGTTTGCTTTGCTTTGTTGCTGCTGGCGCATTAAATTCTTTTTGCCGTGTTATCGCTTAGAGAATTCATTAGCAATTGCAGGGGGGACATTCATTTTTCCCCCCCATATGGTCCTGGCCAGAAACCATTTTGCATATCGCTGAAAAAAACAGTAACACACAAGGAGCAGAACTCACACCCTCAAGTCGCAACCCTTTGGCTTTGCCGACAAACTGCAACTAAAATATTTCCCTTTGGGCCCTGAAGAATTCCACGAGTTTCACTTTCCTTTCACAACTAAATGTTAAGTTTTATATTAGTTTCCAGCTGAAAAGATATTATTAGGAAATAGGGGAGGTCTCTACTTTTTATATTCATGGGAAATTTCTTTTGATTGAAAAACTGATTACATGAACTGCTTTTCAAAGTAGTCAATTCAATAATTTCAGAGAGCTTGAGTTACTCAGATAAAATATTAACCGCCGTTTGGCAACATAATTGTTAAATTGAATTCAAACAATTTTATGAAAATCACCAGAAATCAAAATGTTTTTAAGCACTTGTAAGCGAAGAATTAAAGAATATGAATATTTTGTTAAATAGATAAACATTCCAGTTAAAACGTTCAACACTTACACAATTTAAATGTAATATATTTAAATTTGATTAACTTTACAGGCACACAAAAGTACTTGTTTTTCAACAAAAAAGAACACTGCTCTCCGTTTTGCCCCAATTATATCGTATTATTGCATATGCAATTAAATTAAAAACAAATAAACATGCAAATAAAATGCTTATGAAAGTTGTTATGGCAATTCTTCAACATGCTAAATGCTGATAAAAACTAAAAGTTGTAGAGTTTTGGCAACGTGAAGCATACTTGAGTAGATGAAACCGACCAAAAATAAAACGCATTTAATGTTAAACAAAATGTTATGAAAAGCACTCGAATATGAAAAATTCTTTGAATTTGAAATTCTGCGAGTAAGGAGTCAGCCCCATTGTGTGGATCCAGAGGTTGGGTGTGTTTCTACGGCACAAAAAGTACATTAAAAACATGAAAAAATAAAATAAACCAGCCGGTGCTATTGCTGCTCCTGCCATATTACACTTTTTTTCCTAATATTTGACTTTGTTCTTTCGTTCCGACGAGAAAGTTTTATTAGGGGTACGTGTCAGGGTTGCCATGTGTGCGGATGTCGAGGGGATGTTTAGGGTTAGACTGTGTGGGGACCGGATGGGGTTGCCAGATGGGGGGGGGAGGAGGTGTACAACGAATGAACTGAAACTGTCAAAAGTGCACATTCCGCTCTTGACATTTTACCAAAGCGCAGCTTGAACCCTGGTCTTCTGCAGGGGGGAGGGGGGTTGAGGGGTTATATGGCCCGAGGGGGGTAAGTGTCGTGCCAGCGATTGGCATTGAAAGCGCAAATGAAAGGGAAGTCCTCTTTTGAATGGCAGTGGCAGCTTGCGATGGAATCCCAGACATATCCCATCCCAAATCCAAATCCAGAGGGTGGAACCAGCCAGCGCAGGAAAGTACTGATGGCACGCGTTCGTCCGCCCCCTTGGGGTCGTACCACCCCCCTGACACTGCCCCTGCCACGCCCCCGCCCCTGACAAGCAGTTAAAAAAGGCTAAACGAGAACGAGGCATAAACCCAGAAATTTGCTCTCTGTACGTTTATTGCTTTTAAATTTGCCAATTGTCGAATCTGGCGCTTGTAAGTGCATGTGTGTGCACTAAAAGGAATTAGTAGCAGCTTTTAAAATAGATTTTAGGCAATAAGTCGTTCTTGTATAACACATAGAATTAAACTAAATAACACTGAAGTACTTATACTTTCTAATGACATAAATACAAAGACAATGATATATCTTATACAATTTATAAGACTATAGAGGCCATGAAAGTACTTCTTTTTTTTCAGTAAGCAGAGGTATTAAAAATTTTTTTTTTTTTAGAAAAAAAACTTTATCTTTACTTTTGTATTTACCAAAAGTTAATATTTACCTACAGTATTTAAACACTTATTATCTCACTGTTATCACAACTATTGAACAACGTTAAGCTAGTTGCTTATAAATTAAAGTCTAGTCTTGTTGGTTTTTATTTTATTTGTTTTTTTTTTTCTTAACTTTTTCGCTTTGTGTACCTGTCTTTCATGTTCGTTCGAGCCAGTTTGTGTGAGTCTACAACAAATTGCTTATCAAGCGAACGCATGTAGCAGTCAAACTGAAAGGGGGCCCTGCAAAAGCTGCGAAAGCAGCCCTTAATTTGGCCAATTTAAAAATGGAAATCGACTCCCCCGAGAACTGGCGATGTGTCAATAAAATGTGATTAACAAGTTGCTGCACAAAATGCCAGCACAGAGACTGCAATCGGATAATGGCAATGGCAATGGTAATGCTCCCCCGACATTCCCTCAGGCATTTTGTCGCTGTTTGTCAGCCTTAGTTGGCATTGTGGCGTTCCTGTTTTTTATTGTGAATATAGTGGTGGTATTGTCCTGGGAGCGTGGCGAATTATCCCTTTCATAAGTGACAGATACGTCCACCCTTATCAGCCGCGGCTGCTGCAAGTAATGAGATTTTATTCCAAAGCAAGTGACTGCGGGCCGTGGTAATTCGCAATAAATATGCAGCCAAGAGCAGACCAGCAAGCTCGATAAGGATAAGGATAAGGGAAGGGGACGGGGGCGGTTCGACACGCCCCCTTAGGTCCTTTCTGGTGAGTTTGGCATCCTGTGAATGCATTCCGTTGGAGATTAATCATCACCAATGCCGCAATGGAATAATCTCTGGACTTAATTAAAGTTCAGGGAAGTTTCAAATCAAACAATGTTAATAATAGCTTGCAGCTTAAGTGGGATTACAATAGGATGCTGGTCGTTCATTTGTAATAGGATACTGGTCGACTCTGACATTTATTGTTATCATAAATTCCTTGGCCAAAAGTCCTATTTAATGCTTTCAACTAATATAAACGTCTTTAACTAAACATTCGGATATTAATTCAACTCACTTGTTAACTACCTATCAATGATTTACTGACTTGGACAAATTCAGCTTACAAACACAATGATTTTGAGTGACTTGCAAAAGGCATCTCATGTTTTTTTGATGCATAAATGTTGTAGATTTACTAGGGAATTGATTATTTATTGAGAAAATTAATTTGATTTAATTAAAATCGACTCACAAAATTCAATGGAATTACAAACTAATAGTGCCTTCGGTGATTGAGATATCTAATTTTGTTTATTATTGAAAACTTTGATAAGAAAGTCTTCAGCTATTTCATAATCTTAAGTACTTCCAGTTAAGAAGTGGTATCATTTGGCTGAAATCTGCAACACAGATGTCTTACGATTTTCAATTCCATTCTCGAGGGCTTAGGCGCTTGGTGATAACTCAGATAAGGGGAATAAATCTTTTCCTGGAAGAAATCTTTTCATATAATTTCGGAACTGCCTTGTTTTGCACAACCTCCAGGGTGAGTCAGGTAATCTTATCGGGGCACCTTGATTGCCTGGGGGTTTCTTTTAGTTTGATTTCATTTTGCACTATTTGGCTTTTTCGCCAGACTCTCGCCCTCATGCCCACTTCACCGGGTTGCGATAAGCCCGCCCTTAAACAAAAGTTAATTAAAAGCGAAGCGCTTTTGTAAACATTGTCTTACTCATTCGCTGCGAGGCGGTATAAAAGGCCGAGCATTTCGAACAGCTGAAAACATACGATCCAAGAACGTTCAAAAAGCACCAAGTCAACATGCGTATTCTGCTCGTCCTCTCCATTGTGCTGGCCGTGATCCTCGGCTGCCACGCCTACAGTGCCACCTGGGGGCGTAGGAACAGCAACGACTACCTCCTATCCCGCACCACTGAGGCCCGCAATCCGGTGAAGAACAACTACTGGAACTTGAACGTCAACTATCCCAACGGATTCTACAACATCTCGGCCGTGGTCGTCTACGACAACTTCAAGAACAACTCTGGGGCAAGTCCGAGTCTTTATTCCGGCGGACCGGGATACCGCTACGCCACCGTTAACCTCCGCAGCGCGGTCAACAAGGGTCTCAACTCCACCGTCGAGATCTGGGGACGCTAAGTGACCCATCGAATCTATCAGAATACAACCGAATAAAGCCCAATGGAAAATTAATTAAAATCGCAAAACAAGTTTATTTTTATTGCAAAGAAATGTATTTCATCTACAGCTTCGATTGACTCATAACTTGTGCATCTAGAGCTTGTAAAAGTGTAATGTTTATCTGCTCATTCAAAGCAAACATTTAGTGTAAAAGTGAATTCAGCTTAAATTCAAATTAATTCCAAATGTGATTGTGTTTCAAAACAAATCGAACTTATTTTAAGGAGCAAATGTTCTTAAATTTAACTAATTTTTCAAGGCATTTGCTTGTAAAATTTAATTTTCTTTCTCTGAAAATGTAGTCTTATATGATATATGAGAACATTTATCTTAACACCTTTATCGATGTGCAGAAGTGAAAATGGCACTAATCATTAAATGTTTAAGATCTCAAGACCATAAAGCTATAGCTTTTATATTACTAAAAAAAAAATTTTTATTAGTGATTAAAATTGGGAAAGTTAGAAGCCATGAAAAAAATATCATATCCAAATATCATGTCAAAGACGTATTAACCGTGGCCCGCTGTCAATAGGAATAGCATATTGATGTATCTTTCTCTGGCCGACTTTGCATAATCGTATATTAGCCCTTAGGTCAATCCCCAAAAACTGCCCGACAAGTTTCGAATTTTCCCTCCGCTGATGGGGCTTTTCCCCTTGTAACTGCGGGCACAAAGGATGAAAGTAGCCAGCCCGAGAAAAGGGGGAAACTTTTCCTTTTTGCCAGCCAGCGGCATATTCATCTAGCAAAGGAAAACATTCAATATTTAATAAATATCAGTGAGTGTGTGTGTGGGTTCTGCAGATGCAGAGGTGGGCAAAAGTAACTCGAAATTAAGGCTGGGGATAGGACTATTGCCCACAAATCCTGTGAGGCCCAGACAGACTGTTAAAATGGCTAGAGGGCTGAGCCACAGAAAAAAAATGGGAAAAGAAAAGAAAAAAAAACTGGGATCCATCGAGGGGAGACAGACTTATTGGCCTTGGCTCATTTGATTCCGGGGGAATGGTGTAAAATTTGTATTTCAAATTGCCAAAAGCAGCCCCAAAACGGGTGTGGGCTTGATATGTTAAGCTGCACGGTCAAAAGGATGTGTCGTAGTCCCTTTTTTTTCCCCTCTTTTTCTATTTCCTTAGTTTATGTATCGAATTTAAATTTCAATTTTAAACGTCTTGAGGCTACGGTTTCGAATGGCATCCCTGCCATCCGGCAAAATCCCGATGTCGTGGCGGTAAATATTTACACAGGGCGCACAAATGTTTGAAAAGTTGTCAACGAAAATGTTTCACTTAGTTAATATGCAAAGCGCGGACGCTCGGCTGCGATGCAAAGCCCCGGATCCGGATATGTTTACGGATACGGCCACGGCTACGGATACAGCAGGAGGCTGTGATTCCATCGCCCCGCCAAAGGGAAAGTCGTTCGATAAAAAATTGGCCCCAAAAAGTCACGTAACTGCAGTGCAGAAGCGAAAGCAGGAGGTGGTGCATCCGAATTCGATTTGCTCTGGCTGTGGCAACTTTAAGAACTGGCAAATGCGACTGCCGAATTTCGCTTCCGGCCGCATTCACTTGACATTCCTCATACGCCGCGTGGCCGCCGCACCCAAATGCCTAACGTAAGCCGCTTGCAGGCTAAGCTGACCAATACACCAGTGTCCACGGGTAACCAGGCTGCCACACACACTCTCTCGCCCAGGACTCTGAATCCTGCCACTCCCCCTTCCCCCTCCTCTCCCTTTTATCAACGGCAACAGCTTGCCGAGCAATTACTTCGGACTGCCCGGAAATGTCGCCCCAAAACCAGCAGCGACAGCAGTGGCAGCTGCTTGGAGCAGGTCCTGCAGAAACGCCACCAACACCGCCCCCGTCCCGCCCCCTTCCACACATTCGGGGGTGTGGCATATGTCTGGCGCTGTAAGGACAACCGCCGGCATCTGCTTACACTGGCCCGTGTGGCTCCGGAACATCGAAAATACCCGCCTCAAATGGGATTTCAATTAGCAGCAACTGTCTCACCCCAGCCGGCGATTGTGTTGTCCAGTGTTGCGGCTCACCCTGCAACGTTTACGGGACACCGATAAAAATAAGATCGAATTGTCATAATATATTCATTTCCTTTCAATCAACATATGTAGGACATTTAAACCTGAGTGAAACTGAATTTATTTATATTTCCGAAAGGTATTTGGAATTCAATTTATATTAGTGGTAGTGTTATTTGTAGTATAGTAGTACATAAAGATAATAAACTTTAACAGGAGTACTTAAAATACTTTAAAATAAATTAAACCTTAATTAAGCTTATTTTATCATTTCATTACTTAATTTAATCCCATTTAAGCAATTACAAGTATTTGAGTATTTTGAACTTAATATAATATTAATATTATTTAAATTTAACATATTTTTATTTAAAGAAATCTTTACACAAAATAGTTTTGATTTTTTATTAAACATTAAATCGGTTTCTAAAAATCCCTATACATATTTGCTTGAATTTAAGACCTCTACCAAAAGATTTGGATTAAACCAACCCATTATTTGTATTTCGAAATTTCAATGGCTCCCCTAATCCTTTTTAAAATTTGGTAAGATTAAAGTTATACTTGCAGCTAAACTTAATTTTCTCAGTGCCCACAGGTCGTTGGAGGATGTGTCCTAGGGACATGACATAGAAGGGTGTTGGACACGCTGTTAAGGCTGCTGAAATTGCTGATTTGCTGTTGTTGGCGTTGTCGCCGTCCTTTGCGTTTACGTTGGTCGGTGGCCGGCAGCATTGATTTTTAATAAACCAGCAATTTGGCAAACCAATCTGAGTTGTGATTATTTTAGCTGTCAGGTGGAAAAAGCATTTCAAATGTGCAGCGGGCGAGGCCAAAAGCTGCAGCTAATGTGCATCCCACATACACACGGCCATGTGCCATCGAAAAAGGTAATGAAGTATTTATGATCGGGGCTGATTGCAAATGGAGGTGGTGGTGGTCGTGTTAGGCAGCGTGGCCCGTACAGTAGAGGTGTCGCCTCGGCACCTGGATATCCGTTTTGACAGGCGCTGCTGGGGATTTGTGGCATAACAAATTTTGAGCGGCTAAATTGTAAAATACCACGACAGGCAGAGGAGCCAAAGCCAACTGGAGCAGCACGCAATCAATATTGATGATGGTCAAATCAAAGGCCAGACCGCTTTCGCATATCCAATATGAATTTTGCCACATTTGGCCAACAAAACTGAGACGAGGCAGTTGTTTATTTCACATGTATGTGTGTTTGTCTAACGATGAGTTATTGGAGCAAAGAAAATCCATCGAATAATATTAATATTTTATAGCGGCGAATGGGATCAAATTTTAAACTTAAAGGAGAAGAATTGCTTTGTAGAATATTCAAAGAGTTTAATAATACCATGAGGCAAAAGTTAAAGTGTTAGCTTTGCAGCTTGACTACTTTTAAATTAACTATATATATAAATCAAATAATTTTATTCGGTTTAAAGTTAAGTTATTCGTATTACAAAGGTATTTCCCCAAAGCAATTATAAATCTTAAATACATTTTTATAATTTAAAACCAAAAATTCCCTGAAATGTCCCGCTTTATCAAAGTTGCCAACCATAAGAGACATTTCTACTGCTTTATTCAAATTTCAAACTGCCTTAAAACAATAACTGCTTTAAAAATAATACTGCTTTTATTGGTTTGAAACCTTGATTTAAGTCGACACATAAATCTGTAGGTGGCGCTTTTTCGTGGCCCTTTTTTGTTTTTTACATTTACTACAATGTCTTGTTGTAAAAGAAAGCAGTTAAAAATGAAATTGAAATATAACCTTTAAATTTGGTTTGCTAAAAATAAATTTAAAAACATACAAGTATTTCATTTCAAGTAATTGCAAAAGTAAAAATCGTTTATGTGTGAGTATGTCAAAACTAAGGATAAGAATCTATAAGGATTTAAAAATAATTTTAAAACTGAATATTTTATACTTATTTATAAGCAAATTCAAAAAAAATATTCTAAACCTCTTTTTAAGGACTCAGCTGGGGAAGACAATAGATAACGCTTGATAGATTTTTCTACATTTTTTAGTTTTTGTCTATTTTTAAAATAAATGTAAGCACCCTTTCCAAATTTAGCTGATGGTGATTTTCTTCAGATACTTTTGCCTGTCCTGTATGCCGTAGTACTTCACCCAAAACGCTTCTTTCACTTGCAGTCGAACAACCCCGAAAATGCCACGAGTTGTATTATACATACACACGCAGTGATAGACCGCTTTTTCCTTTGTTTTGACTACTCTTTGCTCACTTTGTTTGAAAAGATATCTTTCCATATGGCTGACTTTGAATGGAAGTGTTTCGGTTTTCTTCTCTGTCATGTTCGCAAATGAATAATGAAGGCCAGACATGTCAGTTTCTGCTTGGCCTTCAATGTAAGAAAAACTTGGCTTAAGGCATGGCTTTAATGAGGACTCAGTTTTGGCAAACACAACTGTACTTAGGCACCTAATTGCTTCAAGCTCGGATCTCCTGGCTTCCTAATCATTTATCCATGCTTATGACTTTGCTCGTTAGTATATCGTTAAGCAATTTCCTGCTTATTTCGCCTCAACCACCCGGCCAGCCCATCAATCAATATTCCATTTATGCTGGCCCGAAAAGTCGCCCCCAGAAAGAGCTAAAACAACCACCCACCACCCAAACCCGGAAAACGCCCAAAACGAGTACGATTCCGTGAATGAAATCGAAGACATAAGCCAATCATTGAATCGAAGTACTCGAGTCCACAATCGGCAGCCAATAAACGATCGTCGCCCTTCGGCTGTCTTCGGCTTTGCTCACTTCTGGCCAATCACATTTGAGCATCAAGTAACGCCCTGTAAATCCGACCAGTCACGGTGCTTCGCTTCCGCGATTTCGCCGCACGTACGAGCAGTCGGTTTATCATCGGAACCGGTTTTCGCTGCCGTATATCTTTGGTGGTTGTTTTGCTCTCTCTCCTCTTTATCGGGCCTTGCCTTCCTTC